ACTGACGTTCTTCCATAACCATGCAATTTCAAGTTCTTTACAAGGTCGTGATCCTTGTGTTTATCAACATCGCTTCGTTGTTTGGTAACATACTGGTATGCTTCAGCGTTTACAAAAACACCCGCCTAAGAACCAAGATTGGGATAGTGATTCTTGCCTTAGCAGCGACTGATCTTCTGTCAGCTCTTATAATCATTCCTTTGTCAACAGCTTCGATGGCTCTGTCCGAAAACAACATGGATTTAATGCCGGAATGGTTGACAAGCAACAAGAACGGACCTTTATGCTATCTCCAGTGTTTTATGGTGTATACATTGTACGGTGAGTAGGTTGATTTAAGAGTCTTTTCAGTTTTGTTGCTTTTGTTGTTGTCTTTCTTTCTTGGTGTTTGTTTTTATCCACCATGGTCATGCCAGACCTTCTCCGGAAGCCAAAATCACCGAAGCATTGAGCGACTTCGTGCATATTTAAGCGATTTTAGCAATAATTGCACTAAAATTACTCAAAATACAAAGCGGATTTGTAAGATTTTAGACAATTTTGGGAAATTGAGGCGACTTTGGCCTATTTTGGCTAACTTCGATAGCCTTTGGGCGTAAATTTGAGCGATTTTAGTAAATATTGCCCTAAAACCGCTCAAAAGTAAAAACTCCTCCATCCTAGCTGAATCACCCATCAATTTCCATATTCGTTCATCAGGTATGTCTCTATTCCTAATGGCAGAAGCTGCATTTATCAGGTATCTTTGTGTTGTCCATCCATCTCTCTATCGTCGCTACATCACAATCAAAACTATTCTAGCAGCCTCGGGAATCAACTGCTTAATTGTTCTGGCCTTACAAGCCTCGGTGCTCGTGCCAGAATACGCGGTTGCACGGTTCATATCAAAGAACAACCTGTGYATGATGTCTTTCCCGAAAAAAGAGCACAAGTCTATAGAGGCAGGACTGTTATGGACTATAATCGTCACCTGGTTTGTCATTCCAGTTGCTGTTAGCTTTTTCAGCTACATTGCGATATTTTGCAAGGTTAAAAAACACAACCGCAGCATCCATATCACATCGAAAAGTTTAGATAAGAAAGGTGAAAAAAAGAGAAAATCCACAAAATCTACTGCAGATATGGAAAGCAAGAAACAAGCGATTGCAGAMGATGGAAAACCAGAAACACAAGATGGAGAACAKTTAGAAAAGTWCGATAATAATGTTTGCCTTTCCGCCAATAGGGATAMAAAACCTCTGAGTCACTTCTTGGAGAGGCATGACYTGTCACAGGKTGGTTCTTCACATGTGCACATCCGTAGGCAAGGCGAYYACACCCATAGCGASGATRTTCACATACAAGCGACGAATGATAATACTATTATTGACGACACTCGTGTCACTAGTATGGGTGACAAAGGTAAACATTATGCCAAAGTGTGTGGTAGAAAAAGACATCTGAACAGCAGAGAGAAAATCGGTAGCATGTGTGAGGACAATCTACGTGAAAGGAATATTCACATCCCTCTAAAAGGAAAAATGCTTGTGATGGAAACAGAATCAAGCCAGAGTCAAACTGTAGAAATCACATCCATGGACAAAATTCAAGAAAATAAAATTCATCAGGTCGACAGCGGGACCTGCTCCTCCCAAAATGACGTCATGACAAGTATTTCAAATCAGTACAAAACTCAAAGAAGCGAAGCCAAAGTAACCAAGACAGTCATGGCTGTGTTCGCTGGGTTTCTATGCTGTTGGTTGCCTGCTGTAGTGGATTTTGCTATTGCTCAAACACAAAAGTTAGGCTCCTAYCACGGCCTCGTGATTCCCATTTGTTGTGCTCTTTCGTCGGCCGTGAACCCCTTYATTTATGGCGTCGCTGATCGAAGGTTTCGACAAACGTACAAAAAGATACTCACTTGTAAGAACGTCTGAGATGGATCCACAAGCGAGCAAAGGCATGCAGACGCCCAWATATCCCGAGAGGGACATGATGGTTTAGTGGTTTTCCCTACATAATGACCAGAAACACTGATCCCTCAACAGGTTCTAGCGATATTTTATAGCTAGTTGTCAAATTCATTACAAATCCACAAGGTAGACACAATGGAGAATCATTGTCGTGACTTTTGACATCTTCAGTTATATGAGCAAGAGATTTGTCAAAGTTTGCATACGACTTTAACTTAAATTTTCTCTTAAAAATGATATTTCATCTTGACGTTAATTGCAAAATATGCTTTAGTTTATGTTGGAGTTTGATAAGCAATATAAAATATTCGTCTCCGAACTTAATTGGCCTTAAAACTGCTCGCTTGCAGCTCGCAGTTTTAAATGCCCTTATAAAACTCATTAATATTCATAAGGCAAAACACAATCGAAATCATAACCCATGAAGGGAGTTGTAAATCCACATACAGATACTTGTTCGTTTGCATAAACTTTAACTCGGTCAGAGATTGAATTTTTTTTTTCAAAAGTTTCCTTAAAACCTGAGCAAGCTTACCTCAACGTTTCATAATGAATATAAAATATTGTATATATTCCATAAAGGTCTCCCGCTCATATCTTATATATTACTTACTTTGGAATTAATTCAAAACCACATCGTTCGTTGAAACTTCGTTCTTTTTTAATAATATGTAAACTTCAATTCAAGAAATAGGACAATCCATCAAGAGTATCCATCATGGTATCTTTCGCATGGTGCACCCAATCTAACTATGACCCAATCCCATTAGCGTTGCTCAGTTGTAATGGCATGAAGACAACAACAAAGTCATTTGCATATATAACACTTTTATTTCCTAGCAAGAATATTAAAAATAAAGTTCCAAAACTTCTTTACAATGTCGGTAACATTTAATTCGCTATTTATCTAAATTTTAGAATCAAAAACCTTCATGGGAAATTTTTAAAAACTTTTTTTTATGGAAATGACTTTTTTGTTGTTGTCCTTAGGTCCTTACAACTGAACAACGTTAATGGGGCTGACTGTATCACTTCGTTACGGTTGAGATACACTGGTATTTCATTGTATTTATATAACGGACAGTGATATCCATACTCATCTACAGTATCGATACCATCGATTATCTAAGAAATAGTTTTAACTATTAAGGTATTAAAATACCTTGTTAAAACGTTATTGTACGTAGGATTCATGTTATAAAGGTGTGCTTCTTTTACGTTAATTCATTAATTACCGAGCTATCGAACAAGGCAATTGCAGTATGTTTGGATTGAACTTTGCGCGCTCTAGAGCAGTTATATTACTATAGTGTTCCGCTCACGCATTGTAATTTCATTTCGCCCTTATGATGGACAAGTTGTTCGAAAGCTCGGTAACTAATAAATCAAAGTAGAAGAAGCATACTTTAGTATTTTGTAAATACCTTGTTCTATCATTTGGTGCCAAGTATTGGTTTATATTCCAAACAATCCACGCAAACAAGCGAGCGTATAAAGTCATGGCCAACATGTCTCTTGCATTTTCTACTTCATTTAAACTTCTAATTCGTCGTACAACGCGACCTGCAGTGAGAGAATAATTCATTGGTAACACCGGCCAGGTGGCTAGAGAGAAGCAACTCTCCTACACGTATTTCTATTGCAATCTAAATCTAATTGCCATCCAAAAAGATGCTACAGCACCTGCTGATTCACAGGGTAAATAGCCCACACAAACTCGATGGTTTTTGAAGACCATCCATGACCATCCTCGGGAACCCTGGGGTAATCTTCTGTCGTTCGTTCCTCACTCCCAGAAAAAATACCCCTGGGCATGAAGTCTGTTAGAACTTGTTCTCGATTCGAACTTCAAAATGGCGGCTGGTAAATTTCTGATTGGTCGAGTGATTCACTCGAACATTCTGATTGGTTGATTAACTTACTGGCCGCCATTTTGAATTTTGAATCGAGAACAAGGCCTAACTGACTTCGTGCCATGCAGGGGTATTTTTTCTGGGAGTGAGGAACGAACGACAGAAGATTACCCCTGGGTTCCCGAGGATGTTCCATGACAGGAAAGAGCACACAAAAATTTGTATGACTACAGGAGTCGTGGTCGAGAGTAGAAAGTCTGTCATCACGACCTTCTGTCTTGATGAATTATGATATCATTCTAAACTCCGCCCAATAATTGTACTGGGGAGGAGCTTACCTTTAACAGAAGTCATCTCTGTTAGAAGCGCGAATTGCAGTCTTTCAGGAGTAACTCGAAGAAGAGAACTCGCTGAAAAAAGGGACAAGTGATTATAAGAGACTGTTTTTACATAAATCCATGAAACACTTGAGCTCGCTTTTGGAATATTAAATCCGGCTATACCAAATCTTTAAAAACAAAAGG